CGCCTCCTTTACGTGCAGTGATGTGGTTGCTGGAAGGCATTTGGAAACAGCACAGTGTGCTATAACGACAGAGCTGGAGGCTAGAGCATTAATCTAAACTGCAGCAGGTGCTTTGCCTTCTGTGACCATAACATTAGGGTACTGGTACCATACCGGTATGCAAAAAAACTCTGTAGATTCACGACTAAAACTGACGCACAAAGATAGAAAGCCGCACATAAACCTGATTCTGTCTTATAAAAAGGTGGAAAAGGCGCGTGGGTGCAAGCTTTATTTCTACTTCCACAATTATCCAAAATTGGATGTAGAAACTCCCATGAACATCCGTTTGCATGTCGATACTTGTGCCTGGAAATTGTAGCAAATGTAAATAAAGACAATGGCAAACTTCATGACTTGGACATAATTAAAAATGAGGTTCAGGTGACTCTGAGTAACATTTTACAAAATGCTGTGTAGACTGCGAAATAATAAACACCTAATAAACAATACTATACTATTTTGTGCTGTTACTCTTGACCAGGCTAATAATAACTTTTTTTGTTCTATCCATCTATCTATCTATCTATCTATCTATCTATCTATCTATCTAAGAATTATAAAGTCATCGCAGAATTGCAGGAAAGGCAATGAGAAAAATCCTAAATCTTCTGAGGGAGGAGCCCCAGTCCTCCTGCCAACTCATGTCCCCACAACAGCACTTTCCAAACCTACTCCAAACCCTCGCCTCTAATAATGTTGTCACTTTCAGCATCCTAAAGGCTGGCTCCGTCCTGGGGGTCCAACTGGACTCTTTGGTGGTGGTGTCTGAGAGGAGGATGCTGTGTAAACTGCACAGTATCCTGGACAACAACGCTCACCCTCTCCACCAGGTGCTAACCTCGAGCAGAAGCACCTTCAGCAAAAGACTCATTTTTTATCACTTTTACCACTGTTACCACTTTATCCAATCGCTCCTTATCACTTATTTAGTTTGTACTTATTTTATTTCACTTTCAATTCAGTGTGTATTGTTGTATATTGTATATACCTACGTTTAATTGCAATTTCTGTTGCATTTTGTCACATTTAGTTACTTGTTTGATTTATTTTATGTTAGCCTTT